GATCTCAAATATAAGAATCGATTACGAGTACCGGCTTATAACTTTGTTAATTTTGCGAATCGGGCTAAATCCTTTTACAGACATATTTTCCATATCAAATACTTGCAAAATATGTAAAAAGAAATCGATTTTTCCGATCCGCTAGATTAGAATACCCCCTTAACAACGTCGAGATTATACAAATATGCAATATTTTTGCTAAGAAATTTTTTTTTATACAAAATCTATTTGTACATTAATAATATGTTTTTATAATATCGGTATATAAACCATTTTTAATATGAAAAAAATTAAGTATGTTAATACAATATAATTGAAATATGTCAAATTAACCTATTTAATCTCAATGCATTCATATCAAATTATCGTTAATTAATGGGAATTAAAAATATAGAAATTATTAGATTTTCAGATTTTGTACTCTTTAAAATTTAATTTAATTTGTTTAATTTGTTTATGTTTAAGTTTAAAACTAATAAACTAATAAAAAGAAATCAAAACGAATCATAAGCTATCAGGAATCAGCGCGGTAATTAGTGCGAAAATTATAATAATAATTTCGATGTAGTTCACATTATAAAATATAATTTTGAGAATAATCGATACGAATTTAAGTCAAGACTTAAAAAAGGAAAACATAATTTGGCTTCATTTAGAATAATTTTTCCCACTGAATTGTACACAATCCGCGACTGTCAAAAATTGTTTAATTACTGAGGATGGCTTAAAGTTAAGCCGAAACGTTTGTATGACTTTGAAATTATTGTATTATTTTCAAGATTATTTTATGATGTAAATTACATCAGAATTATTATTCTAACTTCCGCATTAATTACCGTGCATTAATTATCGCTGACTCCTAACAAGCCTTACAATTCGTTTTGATTATTTGTTTAATAAAAAGTTCTTGCTAATTAACATTTAATTTGATAAAAAAATTATTTTATTAATGTAATTAGTTTTGTAATGTGTGTATTCAGTGTAATACATATTAAAGACGATACAAATTAAATTAAACTTGAAAAAAGTACAAAATCTGAAAATTTATAAATTCCTATATTTTTAATTGCCGTTAATTAACGATAATTTAATATAAATTCATTGGGATTAAATAGGTTAATTTAACATAGTTTAGTCTTATTGTATTAAAATATTCAAAATAATAAATCAAATAAGGGCTACGAGCCTGAGCTAGGTGTTTAATGCTCCAATAAGACAATATTATATAAAAAAATTAAAATTGAAATTAAAACAAACGTTTCGACCTGTATTAGGCCATTCTCAATGTCGAATCGATAAAATTAATATAAGTAAAATTGAAACAGTAAAATATACAAGAAGTGTTTGCATATCTGGTAGTTTATTTTATGTTGGTAACATAGCGTTGCGTTCGTGCCCGTAGCACTCAGCTCGATGTTCCCAGCGCTCGTAATTGGACCTACAGCCTCAAGAATATGTGACTGCCTCTCATTGGTCACTTTTCAAAATGCGATACCTGATTGGTCGATTAAGATATTTCTGGTGCCGTTCAGTGCGGTTGACGCCAGAAGAACAGATTGTAACCGGACGTGCCCGTGATCGGACGTGTACATTTTACGTCTCAAGATAATAAAGTTCAAGTCGTTATACGCTGCTACGGGGTGATTTATCCATTCTTGCCTAGTCTCCTAAGTCTAGTTTGCCCTCTCCTAACTATTTCGGCCAGTGGAATTATCTCTCCGCTATTTCTTGCCATGAGGAAGATTCATTCCCTGCCTTACAATTCTCCCTTTACAGTACATTGTTAAAACTCATTTGAAACATAATATTCAGGCGCAAATCTCCAAAATGTATCGTGAAGTAGAACTGAACATACGGTTTTCCCAGATTTAAACAGGAGACAAAGAAGAAAGATGTCATTGTTAGAATCCGTAATTCTTAACATATAGAAGCTAGATTCAAATTTTAAAAAATGACTAAATCAAATATACAATTAAAAAGCGAACAAGTTATAAACAAGTTAAAATTAAAATTAAATATATTTTTGGCCAATTATTTTTTTGCGTTAATAAAAATTAAAATTAAATACCTGAATCTAGGAGTCTCATTCAAAGATTAAAATAACATTTATGTAGTCAGTAATCGTTTTGCGCCTACGAGTCTTTAAATATGAACTTGAAATGATATGTAATGTCAGCGTTTGTTACCGATAGGACATCTATGAACAATAAACAGAAAAGATAAAAGGAAAGAGAAAAAAATAATAAAAAGGAAGGGGAGAGAAAAGAATCAAAATTAAGGAGATTAAAAATTAAGATAAATTAATGTGAGGGCAATGCTTGTAAAATCGGGAGATATACGTCAGAAAGTGATTCAGTATTACTCTGCTTATTGAGACCGTACTGCTGTCTATTAATATGGACCATTTTAGAAATTATTCTTTTAGTATAGGATGGCTCACTATCAATAATCTTTACATCTATCCACTCAAATTCATGGTTGAGAGCGACACGATGGTCAGAAATGACTGACAATGAGCCTGATTTTTACCTCTATCAAGCTAGCAGAACCAAATAAGCAGAATCAAACCGGACCTATCCAATTTTTTAGTACTCAATTTGTACTAATTTGTACCACCAATAAAAATT